CGTCCGGTTCCGTTCAGTATCTTCATTGATGATTTAGATAATGGCAGAGAGAGTACACTTATAAAGTCTGCGGATGATACCAAGCTGCGAGGGGTTCCAAGTGCTTTGGAAGATAGGATTAAAATTTAAGGTGATATGGACAAACTGGAAAAATGGTCTGAAGTAAATAGGATGAAATAGGATGAAATTCAATAAGGACAAATGCAAAGTACTCCACTTTGGAAGGAACAATCAGTTGCACGCATACAAAATGGGAAATGACTGCCAAGGAAGGAGTACTGTGGAAAGGGATCTGGGGGTCATAGTAGACCACAAGCTAAATATGAGTCAACAGTGTAATGCTGTTGCAAAAAAAAAGCAAACATCATCCTGGGATATATTAGCAGGAGTGTTGTAAGCAAGACACGAGAAGTAATTCTTCCGCTCTACTCCGCTCTGATTACGCCTCAACTGGAGTATTGTGTCCAGTTCTGGACACCACATTTCAGGAAGGATGTGGACAAATTGGAGAGAGTCCAGAGAAGAGCAACAAAAATGATTAAAGGTCTAGAAAACATGACCTATGAGGGAAGATTGAAAAAATTGGGTTTGTTTAGTCTGGAAAAGAGAAAACTGAGAGGGGACATGATAACAGTTTTCAAGTATGTAAAAGGTTGTTACAGAGAGGAGGAAGAAAAACTGTTTTTCTTAACCTCTGAGGATAGGACAAGAAGCAATGGGCTTAAATTGTAGCAAGGGAGGTTTAGGTTGGACATTAGGAAAAACTTCCTGTCAGGGTGGTTAAGCAGTGGAATAAATTGCCTAGGGAGGTTGTGGAATCTCCATCATTGAGGATTTTTAAGAGCAGGTTGGACAAACACCTGTCAGGGATGGTCTAGATAATACTTAGTCCTGCCACAAGTGCAGGGGACTGGACTAGATGACCTCTCGAGGTCCCTTCTAGTTCTATGGTTCTATGATCTGTACCACGTTGGAGCACTGGTCCACCCCACCTGCTGTCCCATCTGTAGCTGTGGCCAATCTCTGATGCTTCAGAGGCAGGTGAACCCCCCCCCCCAATACATCTGGCAAATAGTGTATGGGGGGGAAGGAGGGTAATCATCCTTGATCCCTACAGGTGACCATCTGAAGCCCTAAATACTGAGATTTCATTATAGTCATTGTCTTGATGCAGAGGTGCAAGTGTTAGTAGTGTTTTCAGAATTGCCTGCTTTGTCCTCTTCTTCCCAGCGCCCATAAAGAAAGGGGATGAAAGGGCTGTTCATAGATTCCAAGGCTGGAAAGGATCACCATGACCATCCAGCCTGACACTGGACTAAAGCACATATCTAATGTCACCTTAAATATGGGAGGCAGAGAAGGCTAGTGTGGACAGAAGGTCCCTGGTTCCCTTAGAATTGGCAGTCAGTTTTCAACTCAAACTCAAATCTGTTTTTAAAGTAGCTGTCCAGAGGGAAGAAAGTCAAGAACTTAAACTAATCTTGCACTTCTTACTGATATGCTCACCTAGAAATAATTGCCCTCATTACAGGCATGTGCTGAAAGGTAGCCTGCGGTGGTGCTGCCTCAGACTTCCTACCCACAGGCTGTGTGTCTCATCAGTACCTAGTGCAGAGAGGGGAGTGGAAAGAAAACCCAAGCGACTACCATAAGTAAAGCACTTGCAATCACAGCTGGAACTGAATAGTCAGCGCACATTTACTCAAACTGAACAGTGAAAATTAGAGCTACATTAATTTTAATGAGCTATACCCCTCCAAATGCCTTGGATGGCTTTGAATATCTCAGTCAAAATGGATTATTCATTGTAATACAAAAGCACCCAGAAGCCCCAATCAGAATTAGAGCACTATTGTGCTTGGTGCTGAACATACGTTACAGGGCTGGTGACTTTCTGACTTAGAATGGTTTAATGTTAGTAGAGTATAAACTTTCTGATTTAGAACGGTGATGAAACTCCATGTTTTCCATTGAAGTTTTCTTTACCACGGCAGTTGGAAGCAGGGTTGAAACTGGGTAGTTGGAGACCTTGTTCAATTTAAGCATAAAAGGTTCCAATAATAATTCTACCAAGTACATTTAAAACCCAGCTAAGTATCCAGGGATGGCCCACTCCTGGAGTATAATTAGCAGGACTTTCCCACCCTCCGAATGGCTCTGAGTGCCACAGGATTTGTAAAATGACAGATTTGCAAATGAGAACTAGGTAAGTCACTTGGCTGAAAAGGTCAAGTAGGTTTCCCGGTTTCTATGGTTTTGATGGGCCAATGACTTTTCTGAGGCAGAGCAGTTTAAAAACTATCCCTTGGGGCGTTTAGAAATTGGTAATGGTCACTAAGTCACCAGTTTGAAGACAGCCCCAGTTAGGAGTCATTGACAGTTATTTCCTTTTTATATCACTGTCTTAGGCTGTGTGAAATAATCTGTTCTCTGTTTATTTCTTGCGGGCAGGTGTTTTTCTCACAAGCATGCACAGCAGCTCGCTTTCCTCTTTGTCGGTCTTTGCAAAGATGCTCTAGCCTGACTTCGCACGGATAGCTCAGTATTATTTGGCTTTTATATTGTGCTTAGCACGACCTATTAGTCAGTTACATTTGCAGAGTGTCAAATGCAACATTGATTGAGTTTGATCGGAAGAAAAATATATCCCTGTCTCACAACTAAAACTGTTCAACACTTTTATGAAGAAACTCCAAACCAGGCAAAACCCACCTGGTTTTCAGTTTGCAGTTAAACCCTAAGCTTAGTCCTGGCTCAACAGGAGTTTCACCAAAGTTTACAAAACCTTTTCATGAACATGAGCCAAGTTATTTGGTAGGACAGGGGAAATCAGCACAAAGCTAATATCCTTGAGGTTCACTTAGGTTAAAATCTGGCTACAGAGGGGATGTCAAGGCAGAATTCTTCCTCCAGGCCTGGACTCCTTTGACAGGAAGTCTTCATGATGATGCTTACCACACACAGTCACTTCAGGAAACTGAATTGGCTCCTGGGGATGGTAGGTGGATTATGTGCCTACATCCAGTTGGATCATAAGTTCCATTCTTTTATAAACTAATGGAAAGTGAACCCACATTGTTGGGCACTTTACTAAACTCAGAAGTTTTGGTCAGAGATTTCTGCAAACCACCTACTTATATTTGGGTTTTCCCTTCAACCGTTCCCCAAGTTATGGCTTGAATAAGTCACAAAAGTCCAGAGAAACCATCAGCTATTGCCTAAGATTTGGGACAAATTATTTGAATCTATAGAGTATTATACTGTTGCCACCCATAGCCCGAAAGACACCCTACTTCAAACATTAGACTACATTGACTTACAGGGTCTGTGAGTTTGGATGTATTTGCTGGGGTTTCAAATGTGTTAGGAAACTCAAATAATGCAAGTTGCACCTGGCGTTATTAGGAGCTTCATACCATCATACCATACACATCCCCTTCTATATTCCGGTCCTAGAAGATCTCGCTTTCCTGAAAAAAGAACAGGAGTACTTGTGGCATCTTAGAGATTAACAAATTTATTTGAGCATAAGCTTTCGTGGGCTACAGCCCACTTCACGAAAGCTTATGCTCAAATAAATTTGTTAGTCTCTAAAATGCCACAAGTACTCCTCTTCTTTTTGTGGATACAGACTAACAGGGCTGCTACTCTGAAACCTCTCTTTCCTGAGCTGATGTAGAGACACACTGTGTACAGTCCAAACTTACCCTCCCTTCCTGAGGTTTGGCTTGAACAAAGAAATCAACATGATAACAAAACTCGGCTCAAATCCCTCCACAGGCTTGGCTGCTCCCCCAGGACCGAGATCCTTTCTCCCATTCCCACTCCCTTACATCTAGGGGAAGTCGCAAGTCACTCAGTGAAACACTATAAGTCACTTGATCCTGCTGGGAAAAGGTTAACACCTACTAACAGGGTGGGTATTACAGGCAAACACTGCTAGTCTGAGTTCATTCATCAAAAATTCATGCTCAAAGGGTCATTATTTGTTTGCATTCCTGTTTGAGTCAGCAAATCAGGGAGTTGAAACAATACCATGTGACCAACGATACACTAAAAATGCTGAATGCCTTGTAGTAAATAATTCATAAGATGAACATAATTATTCAAAACTGTCAAATATTTACAAATAATCAATAGGATTGGTTCACAAATGACTAATCAAAGAAAGGGAATAACTTCATAATAAATAGTCTCACTGAATAATTTAATTATAATAAAGTTTCACAAGCAATGCTATAGTGCACAAAGTCTAAAGCGAGAGAAATAATCGTCCACTTGCTGTTCTGCTGTGTGTAGTTACTGTTTGCAGAGACTAATGTGAATCTTCCCTTCCTCTCATTTACACAGGTTCACAACAAGGTCTGCACTGCTAATATCACACTGACCTGGTTTGTATTAAGAATTAACATCTTCAAAATTGTGCTGATTAAATGGAAATTTGTTTAAAAAATTAAAAAGGACAAGTCTGGCCAAAACCACAAGCACTAAGAACTCGAGGGTATTAGTAACCACAGCTGGCAGATTTCACATCCAATTCCTGCCTGATCTCCATTGAAAGAGACAAGGCTTTAAGCATGGAGCCAGAGGCAAATGTAGAGTACAAACAATCTACCGGTAGCTGGGAGTATTGTGAAGTAAACGTTTGCACCATTAAGACGTTAGATTCCTGATGTGATTTGTATTTTTAAAATAAAGGCGTGTCTGATATATGAGCCAGGTCATGGCTTTTTAAAGGGGGGGGGGGGAAGAAGATCAGGCAGAAAGAATATTAAATCCAGCAAATGGAGATCATCCTGTATTAAATACAAACAGAATTCTAGCAGCACAAATGGGCACCTCCTACAATGCAGTCCAATTCCAGACAGCATTATTAACCAGTAGATTTTATATTTCAGAGGGTGAAGCTCTAAGAAACAAAGTAAAACAAACCACCAGGCAGGTACTCTGTGTTAATTCCCATAAACAACATAAAAGTTGGAAATGATTGAAACACCTACCGAAAACAGAGTGGAATAGGCAGAGAGAGCAAATTTGATGCAGTAGTAATAGAGGAGGGGATCTTTCCCCTCTGTTTCTTTTGTCATCTTTTCAGCTCACGCTCTTGAGTGTGTGGATTGGGCACTGTCTCCTAATCTCAGTGGCTGGAATAAAAAAAAACACCCTTAAACTTCAATGCTCTCTACAACTTCCGCCTGGGAGAAACTGAAAGCAATTAGGCGGGAGGCAGAAACATTAACCCTTTACTGCATTTATTGCCTAATGGAACTAGCGTGGATTTGTTTCTCAAATGAACGCGTCAAGATTCACTGCTTTTTTATTATTTCAGTGGAATATGGATATTCAGAAAATAGGTGCAATCAAAAACACAAGCAGCTGCCTACCCTTTGAGCTACCTTCTTTTAAAAAATAACTGTGCTACAGGCAACAAATCACAATAGGAGACACTTGTCTTGTCCTTTATGGCATAAAAAGCATACTGCCATTCTAATGTGATCTCAGGGGTATTACTCACTTTCATAAAGCTCTGTTTACTTTTACAGATGTGGATATTGAAGCATCAAGAGGTTAAATGACTGCTCAAAATCAAAGAGGGAGTCAGTGGCAGAGTTGGGAATACAAATCCAGATTTTCCACCTTCCAGTCTTGCATTCATCCTTTAGTTACCTGCTGTGATACATCCTCTGACAGCTGACATTATCCTTACAGAGGGAGACAGGCTCAATGGTCTAAGAGTCAGCATTTTCCAATGAATGGGGTACAAGATGGGGAGGTAGAGACCAAATATAGATATTCCAGTTTTGATGATAATTTACTATGTGTCAGATCAAGTATCAGGGGGGAGCCGTGTTAGTCTGTATCCACAAAAACAACAAGGAGTCTGGTGGCACCTTTAAAGTCTAACAGATTTATTTGGGCATAAGCTTTCATGAGAAAAAACCACTTCTTCAGATGCATGGAGTGAAAATTACAGATGAAGGCATTATATACTGGCACATGAAGAGAAGGGCGTTACCTCACAAGTGGAAAACCAGTGTTGACAGGGCCAATTTGATCAGGGTAAATAGTCTAATAGGATGGGATTTTCAGAAGCACCCAGCAGAGTTTGATTTTTAAAGACAGGTGGGCTCCTAACTGTCATATATTTTTGAAATTCTCATTCTTAACATTCGAGATGTCATAGCCCTGGAGAAAGAGAGCTCCAGCAATGACATATATGCCGATTACTTAGCCACAGTTCATTGAACATAGAGAAGATCTGGTTTGAACAAGTCAGAGAAACTGGTCTCCGTCACTGTCATGGACATTACTCAGCTATATGTTATGTTTGTAATACCTGGTATCTCAATGTGCCCTTTTATTAGATCTTTTGTCCTTACTCTGCTGTTAGCATTTTTATTATTGGCATGCATTGTGGAGACACAATAAAGTATTCATCTTAGGGCTTGTCTATACTTACCGCGCTGGTTCGGCGGCAGGCAATCGAACTTCTGGGTTCGATTTATCGCGTCTTGTCTGGACGCGATAAATCGAACTCAGAAGTGCTCCCCGTCGACTCCGGTAATCCTGCTCGCCGCAAGGAGTACGCGGAGTCGACAGGGGAGCCTGCCTGCCGGGTCTGGACCGCGGTAAGTTCGAACTAAGGTACGTCGACTTCAGCTACGTTATTCACGTAGCTGAAGTTGCGTACCTTAGTTCGATTTGGGGGTTTAGTGTAGACCAAGCCAAAGAGCCTTTGCACCCACTGAGTTACTTCCAATTACTGCTTGTATAGCTTCCTCTCCAGCATTTTTCTCAGTGGGTGCTATTTTGCTACTTAGTATGTGACCCGTTCCAAGTCATCTGATTTCAGTTATGGTAAGATTTAACGTCTGTACTTTAATGAAGCCCATATTAAGGAGAAGACTAGTAGTAGCTGCATTAACAACACTTAACAAAACCAGGTTCATGGGCCAGACTCTCTGGTCTAAGGCCACTTCATGCTGCTCAGGCAGTGCAAAATGGACAGATTCCAGCTGTAGGCGGCCATTGGAGAATTCCTTAGTAGAGGGGAAATCTCTGCTAGCATTTGGCTTGCAGAGGCTGCTCCTGTTGTACTCACCTCTCACTTCCAGCATTCCAAATGCTAGGTAGAGAGTGGGCAGAACCCTGTGCTTGCTCCTCCACTGGTGTAAGGTTATTGAGGGGCCTCATGCCAGTGGCACGAAACAGAGATGCTCCTCAGCATCTCTCAATTATTCTAGAACCAGACTGTGTGGGATCAGTTACCTTGTCCTGTATTTGGCCTTCATGTGTGGAAAACGTGAGCTATGAGCTCAAGACCCAGCATTTCATCGGCACGCAGGTGGATGTTAAAGCTTCCTGAGGGATATGGATAATTTTTTATTCTGTTGGGGAAGCTGTTGCCTGTTAGCTCCCTCCGAGTGGATCTCATTTTCTTTCCCTATTCTCTCCCCTTCTCTAGTTTTTAAAGTGTATTTTATACAAATCAAGTATATTTATATGGCTATTAGCACAGTGATGGATTTTAATATGGTTATCAATGCGATGCCCCATAGCAGCGCCTCTAGACTGAGCCTTTGTTTTGTTTTAATGAGCTAGCAGTAACAGCTCTGCAATGTTCTCTATATTGCTGACTTAAAAAGAAATGAAATGCTCTGGATGCTGATGAATTTCCTTTCCTTGTTCAGTGTTCATGATTTCATCTGCCACGGAATGGGAGTGGCAGGCACTCCAGTACATTGATTCAAAAGCAGCTCTAGACTTAGCTGAGTCCCTCTACTGGATGATCACCAGTATGTTGTAATTGGATTCCCGATGTCCCCAAGCCAACTGGATCTGGGCAACATCCAGTCATTGTTTCTAATTGTGGGCCTCTAGGGTTCATTCTTGAGTGCGGACCCTCTGTCTGGCCCCCTTCCTTGAACTGTGGAGTCCCACGGCCCAGCTGCTCTAGAAGCTGAACTCAGTGTCTGGTCTCCTGAGCCTCCCAGTCATTATTCATGCTCCGCCAGAGTCCACCTCCATGGGTACGCTGGATTATCGTTTGGCTCTTCAGGGACGCACGGAAGGTAAAGTAAGGCTTTGCACAAGAAAGCGCACATGAGTTACGAAACTTTAGGAAAACAGAAGCCTATATATTCTCACCCACCCCTCACCGCTTCTTGTGAGGCCTTAGGCCCAGTCCATGTGTCAGGCAGATAGATCTCTCTGCAGTCCTTCTCTCTGGCGGTGTTCAGCTAGTGAGAGTGAGGCGAGAGCAGGTCTTACCCTTACATAAGATTAGGTCCCTGACCCACTGACCAGCTTCAGAGCACCAATCAGATGGTTAAAGTCCTAGCTACACACACAAACTGCAAGACACGTTTTTTTCAAAATGGCAGTTCCAATATCAAGGGAAGATCACATTTTGATACCAACTCATACAGACTATCAGTGACATTGGTACATTCTTTCACAAGTACCTCTATGAACTGTGGTTTTGTAGCAGTAGTCAGTACACTCTAAGAGGAAATTCCCCAGGATTGTTTCAGGGGTTGCATGCTGGAAAGGAATGTGGAAGAATTATTGTTCTTCTCTCACTAGCGTAGCGGTAGAAAACCAGCTCTATGAGAAGTGCTGGGCTACACCTTTCATGGCTCAGAAGCTCTGATCCATTACCAGTCGTTTCTCCTCTATGTTAAATCTGGCCCAGTTGAAAGGTTACTGAAAATCATAAGCTATGTGTTGGTGGGTTGATGTCATTTCCTAGTGGATAAGTTCCAGATCACAAGAGCCAGAAGTGCTTCTGACACTAATTTGCTCCCCACATTGGTACCCTCAGCAGGGAGGCCAAAGACCAGGAGTCGAACTCTGAAGTAACTCATTGCCTTCAATGAGAATCGCAGATGCTCACTGTTAAATTCCCACATACATATGTGGGAGCTCCCTTATTCTGGATTAAGGGAAACAAGCACAAAAATAGAAACACCACAGTGCAAGAACATGCATCTCCTTCATCACAGGCATTGGCAACTCTGAAAACAAAATGACTGCTGTCTCTGTACACAGGAAGTTGTGAGATCTTTGAAGAGAGGCATCACCCATTCACAGCTACAGTTGCTGTGCCCAGCACCTCTCTGGACCCGGCCCTGACTGAGAATGAATACTAAATTCTCTTTCCGAGGTGATCCCACAGAGATCAAAGTTGAGATGGCTGTGCAAACTTCTGCCATCCTCCACTGCTTGTCCACTGCTGTCCTAGGGCTAAACAGAGAAGTTCAGTCTTATGAGTGTCAACAATAAATTAACTAATGTCAATTGGAATTTTTTCATACCAAAACAACTAATCGGTGTTTGCACTACTGGGAAATGTCTCACCATTACACCATGCAGTTCTGCCCAGGATAGTGTAAACACCCTGGTGTTCTTACCATTGTGTCATCTAACCCTGTTTAGAGGAAGTCTAGACAATGCTGTGATAACACTGATAGCTGGCTCACCCTAAGCTCCCGTTGTTGCTACCACCAGTGGGAGATTTCCTCAAAAATGCTAGTGTGTAAAGAAGGCTTCGAAGTCCAGAACTAACAATTGGACATATTGGTGATGATGAGTCATTGCAATGAAATCAACTACAGAAAACGGATAAACTGACTCTTTTTGGCAGGATTTAAAAAACAAACAAACAAAAAAGCACAGTAATTGATCCTAGTATTTCCTGAGCCCTATTTTTGTTATTCCAAACTTACAAAACCCCAGTGCCCCCCTGAGATTTGACAGGCCAGAACAAAGAGACAGTGGGATCAATAGGAACAGTCACTGTACCTTAAATTCCACACCTTTGTGCACAGAACAGTTTTCACAAGACACCCTTCACACACAGAAATTCAAACCTCATACACTGCCCAACACATGAAATATAGATTAGAAGTGTCTGGGGAACTTTATTTTTATTTTGTAACAGCATTTTTTTTAATCGATTTGAGGTAAGAGGTCAGGAGGTGAGACCAATAATGGGATTAACCAAACTAGCACACAATACGGAGAGGTGGGAACACAAAGATGGTAGCAAACTTTATTACTGCTTAAAACATGTTATATTGAATTCTGCCGTGTCTCACAAAGGAAGCAGTGGAAGTCCTATCACTTGGAACATGTAAAACTAGAATGGATGAAATGTAATTTATTGAACAATG